CAACATCACACCCATTGTCTCCGGTTGTTCCCTCCTCATAGGTCTCCCCAATCCTACTTTAGCCCCTTCAATCTCGCTCTCCACTCAGCAGCCAGAGTGATCCTTTAAATCAGATCAAATCAATTGTGTCATACCTAGAAGAAAATCCAACTTTGTCGTCCTGGCTGACAAAGTCCTCTCTGATATAAGCCCTGCCTCTCAAAGCTCTTCTGATTCTTTCTTCCACCTTTCACTTTTTCCCTCAGTTACTCAAATAAGTCATGCTCTTCCTTTTCTCCCTTATCTTGTCTGAGATGTTTTTCCCCATCTTCAATACAGTCCAGCCTGTCTTTGCAGGGAGCACTCTTTCTCTACAGGCCCAATCTCAAAAGGCCAAGCAGTCACAGCACCTCACCCAACAGAGCACTTGGATTGCAGTCTGGGTCTCAGGAAAGCAGACCCTAAGAGGAGTTGAGAGCACAGGATGTTCATTAGGGAGTTTTTGTGGGATCAACAACTGTGGAAGGGGAGCAAGAAGGGGAGGCAAGAGGCGCAAGTTGGCTGTGATGCAGACTCAACAACAGCTCCCATGTGGAGCTCTGCAGTTGGAATGACCCTGGACTTGGATTCAGGGTGGCCAGGTCTTTGTACTTCTTTACTGATCAGTCTTTGCACGTGGGCCTCCCTAGGCCATCTCCAGCAACATCTGCAGCTGAGCCCATCCCAGAAGGAACTGATAGCTCAAGGCTGCTTGCCAATAGTGCTCCTAGAACAAGGCCTTCAGAGAAGACGGTCTGGGTGGCACATCACAGTTCCCATCATAGCTTATCTCTACTTGGTATTTTTCTGAATTTTTCATTTATGTATGTCTCCTCTCCTAGAGTTTAAGTGCCATAGAAGCAGGATTTTGCTTTGTGTATTGCTGTGATCGCATGAGTGATGAATGAATGCTTTCCATTTAATTTTCACAACCACCTGAAAGATTAATAATTTGATTCTCATGGTACAAAAAATGAGTTAAACAAAGCTTAGGTTAAGAAATTTGCCCAGTAATTGGCAGGACCAAGATGCCAGTCAGCTCTGTCTAGCTCACAGCCAGCACCCCACCACACTGGAATCATGGTATGGGGCAGTGTGGTAGCTGGTCTTGTGTTGATGTGAGAGGGTACACATTCCGTGTGTGGCTTCGAACAAGATTATAAATTACTAAAGGATTTGGGTCATTCCCTACAATTCCTCCTAGTCTCAATGCTTAATCAATGGCCCCTCTGCACACAGAAGTCCTAGTAAATGTGGGCTCACTGATTTGAAAGCCAATCCCCTCAGGCCCTTGTGCTAAACACACAAGCAAGGGGTCAAGCTGATTAAATTGAAAAACAATTCTGCTTTCTCATGTCAAAACTGCTTCCTGGTTGGCTCCTTTCACTTCCTGTTCTTTGCGAATGCCCTCAAGAAGCCCAGCAAAAATCCACCGCAATCTGAAGATGACTTTGGAGCATTTTCCTGGCCCACTCTGTCTGCTGATAGACAAGTCACCAGCCTATGTGGTTCTGAGGATCCCCATCTCTTCCAAAGGCCATTCTGAAATTTTGTCCATCTGACCCCCACCCATGATATATCTTAGAAAAACCCTCAGGGTGGTTTGACCCAATAGCTCACTCTTATTGGAGACACTGGACTCAGAAACTGCCATGATACCTTTGGAGTCATATGAATTAGGACTGCCATGTATTTGTCTTTAATATTCAAATCAAGCACCAACCCCTGTTGAGGAAGAAATATACAGGAAAAAAATCATGAGAAAATAAAAGGTTTATGCTAGAATCTAAGTGGCCAGTGATTTCTGGGGAATAGAGACGTTATTTCTCTACTAGAGGCCTTCGTGCACTGGGGCAGGTGGAAGAGGGGGGGTCCCTCAGCTTGGCCTGACCCCTCTCACAGTCCAGGAGCCCTCAGAGGAGGTCCTACTGATGGCTTAGGCCCACTCCCCATGGGAAGTGGGCCTAAGCCACAGTCTGGCATCCTGGTGCAGGAGGCAACCAGCAAATCAGGGGGAGGTGCTGCCCCCATCATCCCACCACTGCTGCTGCCTCTGGCTTCCCTCTGCAGGAGGCAACCAGCCAATCAGGGGAAGGCACTGCCCCATCACCCCACTGCTGCTGCCACTGACGGCCACCAGCCCTCCCCGGCCCTCACAGCCGCTGCGGCTTTGTCCAGAAGGACGTCCGGTCTATCCAGTCTAATTAGCACATTACCCTTTTATTAGTATAGATTTGGCAAGGACACAGGACTCGGTCCAGGTCAGAGTGGCCTGAAAGGTGGCATTCCTGCTGCTTGCTGTTCAGGCACATTTTTCTGTGGGCAATCAAGTATAGTTTACTGGAAATTATTATTGAACTTCATATTCACTCTTTGCACACCTGAAGGGTTTATGAATTCTTCCAGGGAAAAGTTGGCTTGGTCAACTTTGTATCCAACAGTGTATCTGGTACATAGAAGCTGTGGCAGTAATACTACCACTACTATCAGTTAACCTTTATTGAGCACTCACTATACAACAGCCAGTGTATTAGGGCTCTCATGTCCACCATCCCACTGATTCCTCACCCAACTCTAATAACTTATCCTCATTTTACAGAAGAGAAAACTGAGGCCTAGAGGTTAATAACTACCCAAGGTCATACAGGTAGGAAATATTGCAGCTGATGCTCAATAGACATCTAATGAGTGAGTGAAGGACCATAGTCAGCCTGGTGCCTTCACTGCCCCTCAGAACCTAGTAGGTATCTCTTGCCTCTGGGCCTCTACTGAAAAAAATATACCAGACCTGAGTGCTCCCCAATGGCAAGTGTATACAGGTGCATAGCGCTCTTGGGGAAATACATGAAGCTCACCTGTTCACCTCTTCGACTGCAAAGCAAACAGTTCATGAAACTGATGACATTCTCTACCCATCAACCCAGATGAGAAATTTCCTGCCAGCACTGACCCCGAAGTTGCCTTGCTACCATCCAGAGTCAGTGAGAACCGGGAAATGGCAGACTAGTGGGACCTGTTTTCACTTTCCAAATTCCTGAACTCAGTTGATCAAGCCAGGCGAGGCAAGTAATAGCAAAGGTCAGGCAGAATTTGGATCAAGGGCAGAAGTCGTGTTCTGAATGTGGCAGGGCCAAGTGGTTCAAAACATGGCCACACACACTTCCTGGGGTTGAGCAGATACTTCAGAATTCCCATAGTCTGGAGGGAAGCATTTGCTGAGCACTTCACAGGGATCCTCCATTCCTAGACCCCAAATAAGAGTCTCTGCTTGTCTCTTCTGCAAAACAGCAGCAGAGCAACCACACTTCTTTAAAGCTCATCTACTCCCTCCCTGGGGTGGGCAGGCAGGCAGAGAGGCATTTTAATAAAGCTTAAGAAAAGCACCTAAGTCAAATGGTGGGTAGTGAGGACATAGCAAGGTTTCCTAGAGGAGGCAAAGTCTGTACTGAATTTTGAGAGGCAAGTAGCATGAGCCAAGTAATGCAGAACAGGATATTCCCAGCAGAGGAAACAGCAGATGCAAATGTGTAATAATAACAGTAGCTATCATCAAACAAATCCTTCCTATGTGCCACCCCTTGCAGTAAGCACTTTGCAGGTATCATCACTAATTTAACTGAGTTTTTCATGTCTCGTCTGTTTCCCCCATTAAAATGTCAGTTCCATGAGGACAGGGATTTTTTCCCCACCAGTGTATATCCCCAGTGCTTAGATCAGTCTCTGATACAGAATGTACCAATAAGTATTTGTCAACAAATCTTTCTCTTCCAATTGATTGCCAAGTATTTATATAAATATTTTGGTCTTATTTTATTCTTAATTAAACTTATTGGAGGTAATGTTGGTTACGGTTATATAGGTTTCATGTGTATATTCCTATGATACATGATCTATACATATTACACTGTGTGCCCATGCATCCCAAATAAAACTGACTATACAGTATGTAGGAAGCCAAAGAAAGGGTAAGAAAGGGACCATACACATACATGCACACACTCAACAGAATTTGAAATGCTTTTCCAGTAACTATAAAGTAGAACCACTTCCAAGGAAACAAACAATTGAAAAATAATCCAATTTTCAGTTACTCCTCCAGAAAGAAGCATAGAGATAACAGAAGATGGTCAAGTTTCCTTTGGACTTCCAAAGTAAAACACACACACACACACACACACACACACACACACACACACTTAAATAAGAATGCCAAAAATATGATTTTACTTGTAACATGCTAAGGATTTCTAAATTTACTGTAAATTGACACCACCTCCATTTTGTTTTTTTGTTTTTTTTTAATATATTTTATTGATTTTTTACAGAGAGGAAGGGAGAGAGATAGTTAGAAACATCGATGGGAGAGAAACATCGATCAGCCGCCTCCTGCACATCTCCTACCGGGGATGTGCCCGCAACCCAGGTACATGCCCTTGACCGGAATCGAACCTGGGACCCTTCAGTCCACAGGCCGATGCTCTATCCACTGAGCCAAACCGGTTTCGGCTCCATTTTGTTTTAATGTCTAGGGAAGAACACCAGATTGAAAGCTGGGACAACTACACCCAGGGGCCAGCCATAGAATAAAAGGGATGTTTTAATGAGAGCTTGTATTGATAAAAAAATTCAGAATTCTTTAAAAACCAAGCTTTAGAAATACACATACAGCTATGTGGAAAATCCACATTTAAAACCTCAGAGAGCCCCAATTTTGCATAGTGAGTGTAGGAAGTGGTCCTCCCCAGGTAACTATGAGGATCCTGGAGAGCGGTCATACCCACCCTCATGACCACAATCACTGGTCCAAGGACAGACACCTATGCCAAGTGGGACCGGCAGTTCTGTGGGTATGCAGATTTTGCTGCAGAGCACCAGTCACTTCTGTACCTGCAAGACATAAAAGTCAGGGACATTTGGCAGCCAAGTTTACAGTTAGTGTTATGAACTGAATTGTGTCTCCTCTCTTCCCCCTTAATTCATAGGTTGAAGCTCCACCCTCAATGTGGCTGTATTTGGAGATGGGGCCTTTGAGGAAGTAACCAAGATTAAATGAAGTCATAAAGGTGGGTCCCTGACCCGATGGGACTGGTGTCCTTTGCAGAGAGAAAAGGCCATATGAGGACACAGTTGAGAAAGCAGCCAATCGCAGGCCAAGGCTTCACCAGAAACTGATAATGCTGGCACCTTGATCTCAAGCTTCCTGCTTCCAAATCTGTGAGAAATGCCTGCTGTTTAAGCTGCCCAGTCTGTGGTATTATTATGGCAGCCAGAACAGACTAAGACAGTGAGGAACACTAAAGCTGAGACAGAAAGCACACATGAGAGTTGAGACTGCATTTAGTCATTTCTAAAGCCCAACAACATTCTTGTCTTGGCTTCAAACTTTAGGATCCTTACAATAATCTCCCATGAGTTTAAGAGAATTTAAATTGGGCATCTTTCATTTGCAACTAAATAATATACAGACGTTCCTCTGGTTATGTCGGGTTCAATGTACGTCGTTTCATGATTACATCGCTTCATGATTACGTCGCCATCTCCCATTTATTTATAAAAAAAAAAACTTTCGTCATTTCGATGTATGTACATATGTGCTTTATGTTTTTTATTATTTACCACAAGTAAAGGAATTATCTTTAAAATTTTTTTTACTGTTTCACTTTATTACTGCTGTGTATGTGCTCCATGTGACATAGGTGCTTATGTAGGTGGGTTCCTTATGGCGAAAATTGCCTTACGTTACACCGTAGGGAACGGATCTCCGATGTAACTCAAGGACCTACTGTACTGGCTTCTGGATAGTTGGAAGTAAAAAACTGAATGTAAAAAACTTAAAGCCATTTTGTAATGGAACCTAAGTTATATTTCATCTCTGCCTTTTATTTAAAAAATATTTTAAAAAAAGAAAAGCCCTTGCTTGTTTGGCTCAGTAGATAGAGCATCTGCCTATGGACTGAAGGGTACTGGGTTTGATTCGGTCAAGGGCACATGCCTGGGTTTTGGGCTTGATCCCCAGTGGGGGGGCATGCAGGAGGCAGCAGATCAATTATTCTCTCGTCATTGTTGTTTCTCTCTCTCTTCTTCTCCTTTCCTCTCTGAAATTTAATAAAAACAAACAACCATTACCTCAGGTTTTCCAGTATGAGTATTATAAAGATACTAGTAGCCCATCGCCGATATCATGAACAGTTGGCCGCCCGCTACTTCCACGGGAGCGGGGCCCGCCGTCTCCTCTCCGGGCCTGCGCTCAGCCACAGAGGCTGCGGGCCAGACCCGTCCCTGTGTCCACTCTGGCTCAGGGGAGCCGGCCCGAGCCAGGGCACGTGGGCTAGCCAGCGCCCCCCACTCCTGGCTCTGTTTCCATCTCCGCTCCGGGCCTCACCTGCACACGCAACCTCCTCCTGTCCGGTTGTGACCCGTTATGGTGTCCCAGCTTAATTTGCATATTTCCTCTTTTTGTACATATAGATTTTATGACATGGCTGTAGTTATTAAGAAATCTGAGGTCTGCCTTTCTTTGCTGGTGGCCTCACCACTCTAGGCCTATTTCCTTCTTTTAATGAAGTTATTTCTATTCATTACAAAAAACTTTGACATTACCAATGACTGATGTCACAGCACTGAAAGGAGTAGCCCTCACACCTCTACAATCTAAGGGTTTCTTCTAATGCTAACATTTCACCTGTTCCAGAACCACCACCTCAGGGCCTCGCAGGGTCTGGGCCAGGATCTCTCCTCTTTATATTTCTGTGTTTTGCTTATGTGTTCACTTTTCTAGTATTGCTTTTTGTTTGGCTTTTCTAGATACTGTGTGCTATGTGTATCCTTTCTTCTGTCTAGCCATCAGGTTTTTTTCCATGGGTCAAGTATAGAGACTAAGAATATGCAAGGGCCTGGGCAGCTCTCACCAGGACAGACTCGTAGGTTCCCAGAGGTCTTTTTAGCTTTGCCCTTTAATCCTTTTGGGATCAAAGGATTAAAGGGCAAAGTCTGTCAGCTAACACCTGATTTGCTAACATGTGCTTCCTTTGGTAGATCACAAGGGAGAAAGAGAGGTCCAAAAGACTGGCAAAATTATGAGAATAACAATACTTTCTAAAAATCAGGTGGCTTTCCATTTTTTTTTCTTGTAATATAAGCAAGCTTCTTGGTGGTTAACACAGAATCTACCTTACATATCACTAATCTTTTGGTCACCAGCAAGCTATTTTTGTTATAGTAATCTGAGTAAAGTACCATCTTATTTGATCTTTCTTTATGGTTCCCAAAACACACTACAATTGTTCTTTCTAGATGACATATGAAAGGTGAATGAAGGTGAATTACAGCTGACTTTCAGATATCCTCTGCGTTGTGCATATTATATACACGTGAGTGGCCAAATTATTATGACCACCTGACGTTTGTAGGCAAATTAGCTATAATTTCACTCTGAAGTTGCTAGAGGGCCAGACCATTATAAACATGGAAGCAGGTTGTTTACCACGACAGTAGAAGTGATTTTTTCTGAAGATATGGGTAAACACTGTGATTTGACAGCCTTTGAACGTGGGGTATATATACACTGAGTGGCCAGATTATTATGACCACTTGACGTTTGTAGGCAAATTAGCAGTACACTGCATCGTATGGTATATGGAAGCCGAAGGCCTGTTCGAACACCTTTGCTGTCGGCAGTTACCAAGATAAAAAACGTCTCCAATTCGCACAAGAACACAAGGATTGGACAGTCGAGCATTGGAAAAAAGTCATGTGGTCCGATGAATCACGTTTCCAGTTGCATCATGCAGGTGGCAGAGTGAGAATTTGGCAGAAACAATATGAAAGCATGCACGCCACATGCATGAGTACAACCCTTCAAGCTGGTGGGGGCAGTGTTATGATTTGGGGCATGTTTTCCTGGCATGATTTGGGCCTTTTAATTCATGTGGAATAACATCTGAATAGCACAACATACCTAAGTATCGTTGCTGATCAAGTTCATCCTATCAAGTTGATGGCGTATCCCAATGGAGATGGCTTCTTCCAACAAGACAATGCGCCATGCCATGGTGCTCGTATTGTGCAGGAGTGGTTTCAAGAACATGAGGGAGACTTTACCTTGCTTAGGTGGCCCCCACAATCACCAGATCTCAATCCAATTGAGCATTTGTGGGACGAAGTTAAAAGAGCCATCAGGCAGCTGGTTCCACAACCACCAAATCTCACAGAACTGGACTTTGCTATTCATTAGGCATGTGTCAGATTCCTCGCATCAACTTTCAACATCTTGTGGAGTCAATGCCAAGAAGAATCACCACATTATTGAAGGCAAAAGGTGGCCCAACGAAGTACTGATGGGGTGGTCATAATAATCTGGCCACTCACGTTCAAATATATCCCACGTTCAAAGGCTGTTAAATCGCGTTGTTTACCCATATCTTCAGAAAAAAATCACTTCTACTGTCGTGGTAAACAACCTGCTTCCCTATTTATAATGGTCTGGCCCTCTAGCAACTTCAGCGCGAAATTATAGCTAATTTGCCTACAAACGTCAGGTGGTCGTCATAATCTGGCCACTCAGTGTACAGTATAATTCTCTCTGGCTCCCCCCCAACAATTTAAAACAGAAATGACAAAATTGTAAACCATTTTCCCCAACACAAAGTAGTAAGAAATAGCATATAGGTCAGCAATGAAGATGGTGAGAAGTGTTTGAGAACAGGGTTAACAATTGTTAAGGACTTTCAAAACTTTCTTATAAAATTAAAATTCTATTTCTTTTCAAACTCTAATGACTCTCAGATGAATTTTAAAAATTTTAGCAATAGTGATTACAGGCACTCTTCTGGATCGTGTAAGTCAGCCCTGGAATGAACACCTAGAAAGAAATGGAAAACAATGGTTCTTGTGATTCCTTTCTGAGTTGCCTGCCTTACAAAGGCTTTTATCACCCAGGTTTGCACACATTCTGGTAAAAACATAAACGCTCCTCATGTTAGACTGTGCTATGCCAACATTTTCTATCTCAATTAGCTTTAAGCCTATTTACTTCATTGAACTCCACAGGCTACTTTTTGTACTGACCCAAAGGTAAGCTAATAACTCAGGCACCCAGGAAATCAATGCAAATACAGAATGCTAAAGTGAGAGCAACAATACTAGTGACATGCTAAAGAAATTGTCTCTGAGACAACTTTATAAAGGATGAAGATGACCTTGGAAGATACTGATTTATCCATTTAGTAGGTTTCCAAAACCAAATAAAACCCAACTACAGCATATCTAAATTACAACACTTTATTGCAGCATCGGCAAAGGTCAGATTTCTGAAGCTGGTGAAGATTGGGCAGCATTTCCATGTGAAATGTTACAACTTTACAAGTTTTGTTTCTTATTTAATTCTACATGCAGAAACTGAAACATGGTAAAAGAAAAAATGCAAAATAGCTAGAAAAAAGATGTAATCAAGTTGTAGCATACAGATGTGCTCTTTAACTAAATTTACTACGCCTACTGAAAAGCAAACGAAAGACAACTATCCTAATAAATTAACAGATTGCCAGAAACAGACTAAGAACCCTCATTTCTATTTGGGGGGAGGGGGAAGGAACAAAACAAAACAAAAAGCAAAATAAAAGCTCTACTGTTTCCATACTTTGTTTAGAGACAGAGGCTGTAAACCCATGAAGGTCAACAAAATCTTCTGATCCACTTCTTGCTGTCCTTCGTCCATTTTCTGTGACATGCTGACTGGCACATTTGTTTTCAATGATACTTACAATGGGCTCAGAATCCCTCTTCTCAGGCTGGTGTGACTTCCCTAAGCCATCTGAATCCATGCTCTTTGTTATACTAACAGTCTTTCACATTTTTCTTTTACCCAAATAGGCAATTTTATATCACTGACTCTGATGGATAAAACTGATTTTTGTCCCTCATCCCTTGTTCCGCTTGAAACAAATTCCTAAACAAAAGCCTTCCTGGTGGATTATCTGGTACTTTGATATTTTTCATCATTTTGTTGTCCTGCATGTAAGTTTTTACTAGAAGATTTTACTGCTTGCGCTATACTTTCCTACTGTAGTTCTGGAGCCCCCAAATGTATCTTCTTCCAACATGGGATGTTCAATTCAGAGACACTGTAACTCAAATCAAGTTTAAAACTCAAGTTCATTTCCCCCATACCATTACCATTACAATCACTTCTTCTCCCGGCTCAGTCATCTCAGACGCTCTTCTGGGTGTAACTGCTCAGTAGTCAAGTTAACCATCTCATTTCTTGACTGCCATTCTCAGAGAAGATTAACCCTCACGTGATTTCCATTACAAA